ACTCGCAGTGGCGTTTGAATGCGATGTGGCCTATACAATGACTTGCGGGGGCCAGCCGATGTACAAGTCAGTGTTTTTATCCTCCCAGACAAGTCTGGTACCAATTAACCGACCCCGGAGGGATGGAAGGCTTGGTTGGCCCGGGCGACTCACGACCCAGGATTTGATCCCCGGACCGCTCGCGTGGTAAGCGTGCCACTTGCCACTACTACTGTAGCAGATGGTATTATCCCGATCAAATTATTATTTAGCCACACCTCTGTTATAACAACCTCCTTTTGGGATGAATGGCGCGATCATGGCTAAATACAAGACCTCCCCAGGGCTAAAACGATCTCAGCTGACCGGGCGAAATGTGAGCCTCTAGGTCGTATAATGTGCCCCGGAACTGACTTAATAAATAAAACTTTTAACGAGTTCGGCAAGCTGGTTGGAATGCAGTGGAATGGTAATGTTTCCAATTCCAATCGCGCTGTCCTCCTTTTTCTTAGCCTAAGCCTTTTTCCTCACATATTAAACCCCCTCATACAATTTTATAACGGGTTACTCAGGTGTGATTCGTTGCAGTGTGACCGCATTTGCCATTGTACTCGAGCGAATTCAGTGGGTAAAAAAGAGCCCAATTGACGACAGGGGCATTCTGCGGAGGGCGTGACCACCTGGGCTGACGGATAGTATAAAAGGCGTTCAGTGATCAGCGTCAACCCATCTCCACCACCACTTTTCCATCTTACCCATTACCAGAACCGATTGCGTAGCGAGCTCACCCACACCCATTTCCACTCATGGACACAGGGCATCGTGTGGCGGCGTACCGCTTCGTTGCCTATGCGGCGGTCACATTCTCTGTGGTTGCCGTACTTTCGGTCTGCGTCACACTGCCAATGGTTTACAACTACATCCACCATGTGAAACGATCAATGCGTCAGGAAATCAAATTTTGTAAGGTAAGATTCCCTAGAGACATTTGAAAAGACATATCTTCAAAACTCCCTTGTTCAGGGTTCAGCCAAGGATATCTGGGGCGAAGTGACACACATGAGGAACGCTCCCGTAGCGAACAGGACTGCTCGACATGTGGGAGGCGGAGGAGGAGGAGGAGGCTCATGTGAGGCATGCTGTCTACCAGGCCCTCCTGGTCCTCGCGGAACGCCGGGCAGACCCGGTCGACCAGGCGCCCCAGGCGCACCTGGAATGCCTGGTGCTCCTGGACGCCCACCGGCACAACCATGCGAGCCTGTAACTCCTCCACCATGTCGACCATGTCCTCCAGGACCAGCTGGACCTCCAGGACCATTGGGAGCACCCGGAGCACCTGGAGCACCTGGAGCTGCTGGAATGGCGGCCGCCGCCGCACCACCAGGGCCGCCTGGACCAAAAGGACCACCTGGAAGGCCTGGAAGTCCAGGAGCGCCTGGAGCGCCTGGACAGCCTGGAGAGAACGCTGTCGGAGGGCCAGTTTTACCAAGCGCTCCGGGACCTATGGGACCACCTGGACCAATGGGACCACCAGGACCAAATGGAGCGCCTGGATTCGCTGGACAAATGGGTTAGTTAGTTTTTTAAGGTCTAAGCTCAACATTAGCCCAAGAGTGTTGGTATTTCAGGACCACCAGGACCGAAAGGACCACCTGGCCCAGCTGGAATGCCTGGACCTCCTGGACAACCTGGTGCACCAGGAATGGCCGGTGCGGCTGGTGCAGCCGGTAACCGTGGAATTTGTCCGAAATACTGTGCCATTGACGGTGGAGTGTTCTTCGAGGATGGAACACGTCGTCGTCGTTGACAGCGATGTTCTGATGCATCGCTCGGTGCATCGCTCGTCAAACTCTGTAGATATGGTGATCGTTGTAGAATTGCCAATAAATGCAATCTGTCAAAGCTGATATTTTGCTTTTGATCAGCGGTCAGGAGACCTTTCAGGGCCAGAAAAAGGGATGAGCGGCGCAAATAGGATTCGGGTAAAATTGAGGCAAACAACTGACATTACTCATTACAACCTTTGCGACTACCCGGCCGTCTACTGTCAGCTGGCCTTCAAAAGTACAACAAACACAAACTTTGTTGACATCTCCGGCAAACTGCTGGCGCACTTTTTTCTCCGACAGAAGACGCTGCGAAATTCGCGTTTTCACGATAGAAAAACGTGATGGGAAAGGAAATCAGCAAAAGAAGGTTAGGGAGAGAAATAGCTTCGGAGTGGGCGGAAAAGAGTGGGTATGGGAGA